ATCGAATCAGCTCCAAATTGGGTCAGTGCACTGAGCTCAGACTGCAGATGAATGTTTACTAAAGGAGTTTGTGTTTGTCACCATAGGAGGTGAACAGGTGAGGAAACAATCCTGCCGTTTCACCTTCTTACATTAAGACTGAAGAAGGGCGGTTATTGACTCTGCTTCTTGAATCCTTTTACTTCTCAGTCGAGAAGAACTTTTCACAAAATAGAAAATTGGGCCAAACTCCATCATCGTACAGATTGTTAACTCCTGTGAGGGAGCTTTTTCTTTCCCCCAGAAGCCAATATTTCGAGTCTCAGAGGAGGCAGTGAACAACCATCATAGTGTAGCTGTACCCAGGAGGATGTTCACAGCTCCTTTTTCTCTCGACTGAAAACTGGGCAGAAGCTTCGACGCTTTATTTTTTAACGTGTGCCTGTAGGAAGCCTGGCTCCTTCACTCTTTCATTTTGTTATTAATTAACAGAGCGTGAAACGAAGTCGGCTGACAGAGCAGTGAAAACAGAGTGCTGGTGGCAGACAGTGAGGACTGATCAAGTTTTCTCTTCTTCTTCTTCTTCTTCTTCTTCCCCTCAGTTCTCCGCTCTTTATGATGCGGTTATGATTAATGAATAATGCACAAGACTGACTTCTTAAATATTCTGACATTTCAGGGCAGAATCAGCTTTGACGAGAGCGCAACTTAATTAAAAATGTGTTTATTATTTGTGCGAGCGAAGGCTTTACGCCCGGCTTTGAAATGCTAATCTTAACAGCGGCGCCTGTTACGGAACCAGCTGAGCACTTTTGTGGCTGCAACTCAACAAACTGTTTTTGTTTTGCTTTTTTAAAAGATGTTTTTTGGAGTGGCCCAGTTTATCCTTTTTGCATAACAGAGGCGTCTTGATAGCCCTAGGAGATTTCCTCTTGTTACCGCTATTGTTTCATAGACGCTGATGTCCTCAAAGTTACCATTTTGGAAGTGCATGTCTGGGTTAAAGCGATGGATCTGGGTTAGTCGTCACAGTAGGACTCCGCTCCGACCTGTGAACTTTTTCGTGCAACATCCACACCCATCAGAACGCCTTCGTCTGATCAACTTTGTTGCTCGTACGCAGAGGTGTGCAGAATCTCATTTCCCAGTCGAATTACTCAAGGAGTCAAACCTTCTGAATGTGGAACAACCGTTAATTGACACTGACTGTTGCCTAAGTAACTAACGAAGGAAGTGTAAGCAAATATGGCAACCAGACTTCCTTCACCCGCCTCTCCCTCTCCTCTCTTCTCCCGTCAGATGTGGTTGAAGCCCGTCAAGCGGCAAGACATCCCAGAGAGGACGTGCTACGTGGCGCCTCTGTACAAAACCAGCGAGCGGCGCGGCACCCTGTCCACGACGGGCCACTCTACCAACTACGTCATCGCCATGACGCTCAACTCCAACGTACCGGCCGAACACTGGATCAGACGAGGGGTCGCTCTGCTCTGCCAGCTCAGCTCCTAGAAAGTGTCAGTTAAGTGCAATTTTAAAAAAAAAGACTGAAAACGAACAGAAAGAAAAGCTGTTTTTTATGTAGAGGGTTGATGAGCATCACAATAAAGGAGCGGTGATTTCATTTAGTGTAACTTCTTTAAAATCGAACATACAGAGCATGAAGACCACGACAAGCTAAACAGACAAATAAGACATGGTTTTGAATGACATCATTTCTCACCCATATTTCCACCAAATCCGGAACGGCTACGAGAAGGCCGTATCCTCCAATCGTAGCTGATCGTAACCATTCAAGTTACTGTATTTTTCGCACTATAAGGCGCACCATCAATGAATGCGTCTATTTGCGAATTTTATGTGCGCTTTATTGTGCGAAAAATACGGTAGTGTGTCAATTTCCACCATAAAGAGTTCTATTTATTCTGGACGCCGGAGCATGCCGGATAAATTAAGCACAGATTAACCCGTGCTGGAAAGGAAGACGGGCACAGACACAAAATAAAACATCTGACTTCTTTTCAAAATAAAACTAAGTATTTCACACCATGCAAACGGGCGGGGACGAACAAGAGAAAGGTTTATAAGCAGCATTTCACCCCAATGACATCGTGGATGAGGAGATGCTGATTCTAGAAGTCTAGAAGTAGATTTCCTCCTCTGGAAGGACACAATCTCCTGCTTTTATGGTTAGCCTATGTGGCTAAAGACAACTTGTTATTGCGCGATAGCACGTGAATCCGCGGGTTCTCATGAGTGATTCCTGCTGTCTGTAATCCACCACGAAATTCGCCTCACAAACGGATCTAGTAGGAATAGCCGGACAGCGAAAATCACCGCCATTCCGATGCGGTGGAAATTCTGGGTAAGAGTTTAGACATAGTGTAAAATGTTCATATAAACACATTTTGATCATTTGCTCATTATTTGAACTCTAAATATTATTCCAAATAGCGCAGACAACCAAGACTCCTACTACAGAGCCATAACAAACTACTGTCAAGTAAACGCCAGATCTATCAAATAAAACAAATCTGTTTTCATGAACTCTATACACTAAGGCAGAGCCATCACAGATATGAGGGGTATTTGATATTTCCAGAGTTTATTGTCCTTTTCGTAATGGGAGAGAAGCACAGACAGGCAAACAGCATGATGTCACATGTCGCATTTTATATCCAGATTACGAAACAAATGTACAGACAACAAAGCAAGAATGAGCACAATCATAGACCTTCATTTTAAACACAGTTTTGTCGCCAAAATAACCGTGAAGAGCCCTGTCTTTGGGGTGTAGTCAAACTTTTGAAAATGGTTAAATCACAGAGAAATACTGTTTCAATACAATAACCCCTAAACTTAAATATACACTAAAAAAAATACAAAGAGCAGAATCAAAATGATCACAGAGAACATAATTAATCAATGTCAAAGACTACAGCACTTAGAAAATTAACTGAATTTATTTTAGATGAGGGTGTAAATACATTCAGGTCTTGTATGACAGACGTGTTAAATTAAACATGAACTTCAGCTGAACAAAAAAGTGAGACAGACAGGTCCTGTGCTCTCAAACCTGCAAAGTTTTCAACAAAAACGGTTCATAACACCAACTCTGCTACACCCCAAAGAAGCTCCGGATCCTCACACAGCTCATTTTCAAAGTAACAAAAGTTGTCAATATTTTAACTTTGCAGTACAAAGAATGAAAACAAAGTTACACTCAGCACAATGTCTGTACCGTTTCACTCATGCTTCATGCATGGTTCAGTCAGTTCGACTGCACGAGTTTAAGGTGACTGACGATGACTTACAGCCAGTTTAGACATAGATGATGGATGATGTCACACAGTGACAGGATAAATGAAGCCACACACGTTTTCGGTGCGCTCCAGCAGCCGAAGCTAGTTAGCTTAGCAAGTGAGCCGCAGAACAGCTAATGGAATGTCGGGGCGTTAGGGAGGGGGCAGTGTCAAGCACCAGCCACTGAAAATCCACACTGAGGCCAGTTTTTGGCACAGTCAGCAGCAACTTTAACAGACACCCTCAAAAACACAAGTAAACAAATTAAAAATAGTCATAATCACAGGGTTTCATAAGTCAGGTTTAACATCCATCACAAGTGCAGGGAATGCTGTCTTTTCATAGCACCCGGTATTTTTATCCTGTCGTATGATTGGTCTCTCTCTCAGATTGTCAGGAGGTGACAGAGGTACATCGTTTGAATTCATTTAGTAGAAAGTAAAACCAGCTTTTAGCTGCTATAACTACTGACACTATGAAGACAGCATGTGTTTACAAGACGTCAACAAATAATCTGCACCAGAGTGACAGCTGGAGCTCCCACTGTACTTAAAGATCCACTGCAGCACCTTTGAGACCCTTGGAGAGACTTACTACACGAATCTATGAAACTACATCATTGTTGAAAGTCAGCCTGACTACTACTTTGATATTCACATTTTAAAGTTGTTGATTTTAATCATGTAAAGATCTAACTAGGATACGTCTCCTGAAGCTAGAAGATTGTCAAACCCTAAAACAAACTTGATCATAAGACATCTAGTGTCTAAGGAGTTTTAAATGCTAAATTGTACAGACTTTAGCGGCTGTGTTAGAAATCAACATAAACTACAAAAGTTACATAATCCCAAGAATCAAATTTAAAATAAAACACAGATGTGAAGTAAAAAAACGGACTAAGTGGTACCAAAATAACACTGAATACATTTGGGAATCTCCCACGCAGCATCTGGTGAAACACCTTCTATTTCGACAGTGCAGCTCAGAGTTGTGTCCACATTTAGCGACATGAACCGAAGGGTTTCTTTCAGATGTTAAATCTAGCAGCGCTGAGCTCCACGTCTCTTTAAGGACACTGTGACGGGGTGTGGAGCAGCTGTGGTTCTGCTGCAGTGGCCAGGGCTTGGCACAGAGAGACATGAGATGTTTGGTACACAGCGTGATCACATCAAAAGTTGATGACGGATGGCGGGTGGAACACACACCACAGATGTACAAGTCATGGATGATGGGACACAGCACAGACTGGGTAAGAGATGAAGAGGCGGGTGGGCGTAGTACGAGGACAACAACACGCTAACAACAGGTGATGATGCATAGGTGGGTGAGCTGCCGGGCTGTGACAGCTGCCTCTCTGCAGGAAGTCCTACACCACCTTACAGCTTTTTTTATTTTTTTAAATGATGGAGTCAGAACAGAGGTGTTTCTGGTTGGATAGCAGCCCCGCTCTTCTTTCTTTCAGCCAGGGAGCAGAAATATCGAAGCCCACAAAAACAGAGGTAATGGAGGAGCAGAGTGTAAACATCACTGGCACAGTCATGAGATATGCATAAGCTAACCGCTGCTTGTTTGGAATGGAGGCACGGGCCATGAACGAGACTCACATCGCATGCAAGACTGATCTGTTACATCGCAAACAAAGCATGATAAGGCCAAGAAGAACAATACTGATACATCCAGCTCTCCCCTCCTCTCCTTCTTTCCCCACCACCCCTGTCCGTTCTTTACTCGAAGCCAAAATCAAAAACGATTTGGTCTTCAAAGATGGCAATGAGCAGCATGATGCCGAACCCGGTCAGCATGCCCAGGTTCTGCAGGATAAAGTGTCCCAGCTGGCAGCGCTTGTGGTCCTCGCTGTCCCCGTGAAGCATTTCTGGCAGCTATGAAAGAGACAAAATAACCAGTCGGGATCAGAAAGAGACTTCCTGGAAATTAGAATTGCAGATCAGGAGGAGCGCTGATGGCCCGTGTGGGAGTGGAGTTAGTGAAAGTTAAGCTGATGTTGTTTGAGGGACAATTATCACTGTGGGGCTGTAGAGTGCGCCGTGCCAACTTACCATATCCACCAGAGCCACATAAAGGAACATGCCAGCTGTGATGGCGAAGATCCAGCTGGTGACATTGTGCGTGTACTGGCCCACAGCTGTGCCAATCAGCATGCCAACATAGGCCATGAGGGCGGACAGCAGATTGTAGACAATGGCCTGCTTCACTGTCATCCCTGCTTTTAGCAGCACCGCAAAGTCACCTGTCAGCCAGGAGAGACACACACTCGTTTAGAGGCATTATTCTGACATGTCCAACAATCTAACAGCACATAGACGACACCTGGGCAAGCAGCCCGGCTATAATTAAGACCATTCAAGTACATTTGCTGACCATTTGTGCACGCCCTCCATTTTTTTAACCAGATATACTCACCGTCTATGATTGATGTGCACTCCCTCTGAATTGTGTGGCATTGTTGCAAGTGCAAAAACAAAACGACATACGGACTAAACATAGGCTGCTCGGGTAGAGACAGGGCTTGACACTAACTTTTTTCACAAGGAGCACATGTGATAGTAACAGGGCTTGAAGAAGAAAAAATCCTGTGCCTGAACCAAAATTATAAAAAGGCACATTTTCCTAAAACAGCTGTTGTAGTATGAAGAGTCGTAATCGTATCATAATTTGCAGACGATCCCTGCACACTCGCCCTTATTGGTCGACATAAGTACTATTATTTGAAATCAATTTTAGGTCAACTGGTCATGTGACATTGAAGCTATTAAAGGAAAACAGCCTTTTCTGAGAACATCAACCGGTAATTTGTTGACGGTCCCTTATTCAACACCCGACGTTGACAGCGAGGATGCTGAGTAGATTTAACTTTCTTATTATTTATTACTTATTACTTATTGTTATTATTATTATTTAACTTTCAAACTTTTTACTTATGGAGAGAGAGATCCAGTAGATCCACAATGAATGTGCGTCAGATATCCAACCTAAAACTAACTTCACTGCGGTACTCACATGAAATACATTTGTTGCCTCAGCTAATTTTTTTATGCACACATGTGCCCCTGAATACAATGCGAGTGAAACAGTCGCACTGTTGAGCCCTGAGAGCTGCACCTTTATAAATCCTATAGGGCTACTATAGTGTAGGAACACAAGACATATAAAATCAATATTTGTGATTATATTGAAATTCCTAATTAATCACTGATATGAAAAGTTTACAGATAAGTACTGAAAGAGGGTTAAATTATTATAACATGGTGCAGAAAGGTAAATGTTGGTACACTAAGAAAGATCAGAACAGAGTGAAAAGACAGATCCTCCTGATTATTCAGAAACTTATTCACCTGTTCAGTTAATTTATTCATGTATTTCCTGAATATTTATACCCCTAGCCTTTACCACTGCAATTTTTCCATCACTCTGTGTGACACTGACATTCATGCTTCAGCCAGCCTAACTTCATAAACAGCTTGAATATGCACAGACTCGCTCTTATGAAGGTAAAACAAGGCATGATGCAGCGGCGGTGACAGCAGTCAGTCTAATTTTTGTTTACAGCCAGCAGAAAGTCATCTGAACCCCGCTGTGAATAACCCGGCACGTGTCAGGATGCATTTTTCTTCACTCCTCCTTCTCTCCAGTCTACCTCTGCTTTCTACAGGTTCACCCCATCACTGAAGGCAAACTCCTTCCATGTACCTGCCGCCTCTATCTGTCTCAGAGTCGGCACAGAACAGACCAGGAGCTGCTCTTTCGAAGAAATCTGTCTTTAACTCCCTCCTGAAACACTTATGATTACATATGCATGCCGTAGTCTCTCTACCCTCTTCAATCATTGCCAGGGCCAAATGTGGGAAGAGGCCCAAGTCTCAGCGGAAACGCCCTGGATTTGAAAAGAGAGATGAATACTGAGAAGGGGGTGGCCTACATTTCCTGCACTGTGTAACAAGCGGCCTCTTTTCCTTGCTAATTACCACAATGAATATATTACCACTCTGCTCTCATCCATCAATCAAACCCTGAGAAAAGAGGGAGAAGTTAAAGAGAGACAGTCCGCGCACGCCTCTCCTCAATGGCCTTTTTTTTTTCTCCTTCTCCAACTTTCTCTTTGGCGTTTCCTGTCTCCACAGTTCCAATCCGTCAGGCACTCAGAAACGCCTGCCGCCGCCTCATCTACCGCAATTAACACACCCATCACTGCCAATTAGCTTCACTCTGGGTGGTTAAAGAACCCTCATAATCATCATCTTTGCCATCCAGCTGCTAGGAGGGGGGGACGGCTTTTGTGTTCAGGAGGAGCTGAGAGGTGCACTTGTCAAACCGCGGGGTGGGTCTGACAAGCAGCCCCTATGGGTGTCGATGTGAGGCAGCGAGTGGGGACAAATAAACAGGAAATGTAAAATAACAGTGAGGGAGTGATCTTCAGATGCAGCTTGAGACATGCGATGTGGTTAACCATCTGGAAACTTGAGTACGACGGCGGAAAAATAGCATTAAAGGATAGGAACGTTGGACGCCATCGTGAGCTCTCTGCTCTCTGTCTTTCGGTGCATCTTGAGACCCCGAAGATGCAGCCGGTGATGGCTGATTATCTGGCACTCAAACAAATTCATTGCCAACGATCACAGACTTTAAAGCAGCTTCTTTTAACCCCAAGGAGTTCATCCCTCTTCCTCAAATACAATCTTTAAACAGACACTGCTTTTCCTGTTTTTTTCCCCCTGAAACACAACAATAGGATAACTTGATGCTCCAACAAGCCAACACAAGGGGGAGCAGGCACACAATCGAGGCTATTATTCACCGGTTCACACTCCGCAGTAATTGACACTACTCTATTCATCAAGCCCACAAACGAGGCATGGAAAGTGCACCGCAACGAGACACATCATTAGTACTGATCTGCTCTGGATGGCCCCATTGTCTGTGTTCCTCACTCGACTCTTACCACCTCTTCTTCGCACTATAAACAAACAGACAAGAGGAGAGCGTTGCGGTGATAAAAAACAAAAACACTACTTGGAAACAAAAACGCTCACTGTTGCTGAATCTAACTGAATCAAAAGAGTCCTCAGAGACAGGCGATTTGAATGCAAATGACGGAGCCGGCAGCTGCGGCGTCTTCGTGGTCTGACTGTATTCGACAATGAGCGCCAGGCGCGGTACATCATCCTCCCTGACAGACACATTGACAAGCCATTTCGCTGCTGTCAGACAAAAGCCATTAATATGGAAAAAAAGTACATTTTTCTGGAGTGAAAAGAAGAGTGATGATTATTGACACCGCCGGGTTTCGAACACGTTCCAGGGGACGGAGGGGTCGTGAGACTTGGATTAAAGTTTCAGGTTCAAGTGAGGGAGAGAGCTGTTTTCGCAGGAGGCTGTGATTTAGACAGCGGTTATCATTATCGCTGTGAGGCCTTGACAAAAGCAGCTTTGTTCACCTGGCTGAGCAAATGAAGTGTACAGTGTGGAGCGTGTTGATGAGTAAATGATTCGCTTTGTTAACGTTTTTTTTTTTATTTTATGTTTGGATGCTTTCTCCCGCTGCACTTTCACTCCACTTACCGAGCTCGTGAGGTAATTCGTGGCAGAAAACAGCCACTGATGTGCTGATGCCTCCTGTCAGGTTCGCACTGAACGCTGCGCCTGCGGAGACAAGGAGTTCAGGACATGTCAGCGAGGAGAAGTTTGACATTTTTAGGGGGAATGCCTTTGTTAACTTTTGTGCTGCAAGTCGAGAATTCTGCGCAATCAATATCACTTTCATGCCTGAACACTTAACGTGAAGTCTGAGCCTGAAGGCGAATCATTTGAATCCAAATGTTCACCCTCTGGACATGCAGATGAGAAGTGTTTGCTATGGTTTGATTAAGTGTTCGGGCACGAGAGTGCACGGCTATTTAAGCTACTGATAAATCATGACTACAAGGCATAATAATGGGCCACCTTTTGTTTTCCTCTTCGGTTTTAACTTCACATACTGAATATTCATGACCAGTATGATTCAGAATAACCATTTACAAGATGCTTTAAAAGCCCTTCATGTTTTTAAGTAGCTGATTAAAACATATTGTGTCACATCCATATTGAACTAAATGGTGCACAATTAATTCTTGAGGTATGTTCGCACTCTTCCTCTTTAGCAAGTCTTCTTAAGGTCATGCATGCTCAATTTTGGGCACCAGGCACTCACAGATTCCTTAATTCACAAATCTGACTGGAGACTGGACTCAAGACTGGAAATATACGAAACCAGCTTGTCTCTACTCTCCCTGCATGAAGATTTCTACCGTGTAAGCAATGTGCTTTTATTGTGCTGAGCTCTCTCTACTTCCATCTGTTATTGCTGTACTATCCTCAAAGGGATATTCTGGCATAAAAATTAATTTAGGGTCAAACACACTGTAACACCAAATTAGACACCCCCTCGAGAGATCAATGTTGCCGACTGCTTGCTTCTCTAGTTATACCAACTTTAGTAACGACTGCATGATAGCAATACACAGCAGTCTGAGGAGCCATAAACAAACCTCAACCAAAACACCACTCTATAGCCACAAATAATGCTCAGAACAGTACCTAACTTCATCAACAGTACATATAGGGTCCCAGACATAGTACCTCAACCAAACATCTTTTAAGCTTTGCCTTATGTCTTTAGCAAAGAGACTAAACACAACTCACCTACTCTCTTCCAGCAGCCACTTGTTTGTAGCGAGATCTCAGGCCAGTCCGTTACGGACTACAGCGGGGTGACGCAGCTCAAGGAAGAACATTTATGATCATTTCTTCATGGAAATGCAATCAGACCGAGACGCTAAGGCAGAAGAACTACAGCATCTGCGGTGCAAAATGATTAATATGGTGATTATTTCTTCAAGGAAATGATAAAGAAATGATCATAAATGTTCTTCCTTGAGCTGTGTCACCCCACTATAGTCTGTAATGGACTGGCCTGAGGTCTCGCTACAAACAAGCGGCTGCTGGAAGAGAGTAGGTGAGTTGTGTTTCTTTACTTTGACTATAGAGTGGCGTTTTGGTTGAGGTTTGTTTATGGCTCCTAAGACCGCTGTGTATTGCTATTGTGCGGTCGTTACTAAAGTTGGTATAACTAGAGAGGCAAGCGGTCGGCAACATTCATCTCTCAAGGGGGTGTCTAACTCGGTGTTACAGTGTGTTTGACCCTGAATAATTTCATGCTGGAATATCCCTTTAAGGTACTGATGAACGCACCAACACCAATCTGTACAAAGGTCATTTGTGGTCTTAAATTGAGGGATCTTAACATGAAGTTTATTTACTTTTCAGTCAACCCCTGTTTTCTTTTTTATGCATGATTATGATCTAACGAGGGGGAAAGCAATTAAAAGTGACACAGCTGAACCGGTCTGCCTTCTTATGTGTCCAACAAAAAAGTCCAAACAAAAAAACCAAGAGATAATCTCTCACCGATAGCCAGGCCATCACTGAAGTTGTGCATGCCATCGCCCATAATGACCATCCAGGCGATACTGGCGATACCAGCGTCCTTCATCTCCTGGTCCGAGTGGCAGTTCCCTCCATGAGAGTGACCATGTCCATGTGAGTGACTGTGGCCATGTCCGTGCTTCTTCACCTTCCGTCCGTTCTCCTTTTTGGGCGACTGGGGGTCTTGTTGGGAAAGTTGTGGCGCAAGCGGCGTCCTGGTGGTGGGAGAGTCCGGAGGCTGGAGCTCTGAGAGCTGCGTGTCGTTGTGACCGTTGTCGCAGGAGATAACGGTGACGTCATGGTCTGATGAAGATGGCAGATGTGACAGTGAGCTGAGGTTACATTACACGCCGCTGTGTGAAATGAGCCGCTGGATACTTCTTACCTTCACTGATGGGCTTCAGGTGCAGCCACTCCGCGTCTGAACGCCTATTCAACTTGTGGTCTGACAACTTGCGGCCAATCATGCCCTCCTCCACGCCTTTCTTGCCCTGTGAGCACAGACATGAAATGAAAAACTCAGAAATCAACTTATCAGCGGTTCGTGGCAGAAAGGATGAAGACCCCCGGGGAGGGAAACAATCAGAAAAGAGAAACTGCCTGTGAGAGTCAGTGTCTAATGAAAGTCTAGTCCAGTCCACCGCCGGTGCTGCCGGGTCATTTCCCCTCACCTTGTGGTCTTTGTAGTGCTTAAACATGCCGATACAATGCTCAATGATGAAGAGGAGGTAGATGCCGGCCAGCGCGGTGAGGCCCTTCCACACTCCATCAAAGGCGGTAACCAGATCAGTGCTGTGGCTCGCCCCGTCCCCTTGATGGTCATGGTCGTGGTTCCCTTGAGACTAAATAAAGAGGGGAGGGGGGAGGAGAGCGCACATTCATCAGTCCAAAGATTTCATTTCAACGAGCTTTATTGATGGAATTCCTGCAGCCTCTCACTGTTAGAGAGAGACGAGGATGGTTCACGATCATTCGAGGATATTCACTGACCTATTGCACAACAATTGATTGTCATTTATTGGCAATTGGAAGGAACATGCTGTCTATTTAGAGTTATATATTTAGACATTTCAGTAAAGGTCTGACATTAATAAAAAGTCAAATTACGTTTTTCTCACAGGTTTTCAACTTTAACTTTTTGGGCAGAAATGACAAAGAAACACAAGACTAATGATCTAATCCAGCAGGGCTCGACAGTGAGACCATTTCACTTGCGTTTGCGACTAAAAATAGATGTGTGGGAATTGTAAAATGTATTTAGGGGGCACATGTGCGCATAAAAAATGTTTTTTCATGTAAATACCGCGAATATTGTAAAGTTAGTTTTTGGTTGGATATCTGACGGACATTCACTGCAGATCTACCGGTGTCTTCTTACTCTACATAACCGGGAATAGCAACAACAGTGCAGAGAAATCTATTTGGCACCCTCGCTGTCAACGTCGGGTGTTGAATAAGGGACCATCAATAAATTACCGGTTGATGTTCTCAGAAAAAGCTGTTTTCCTTCAATAGCTTCCATGTCATGTGACCAAAAGACCTAAAATTGATTTCAAATAATGTCGACCAATAAGACAAACATTATTTGATCGATTTTTATTGTGCCCCCAAAGTTCCTTATGTGCTCCTTGTGAAAAAAGTTAGTGTTAGGCCCCGTCCAGTATCCAGATTATTCTTTGACAAACTCACATGAGGCAGCAGGTGAAGCAGAGCGTCTCCACTGAGCGTGCCCACAGCCAGCGCCACCAGGAAGGTTAGCAGGAACTTGAAGCAGGCCTGGTTCAGGATGGGTACCAACACCACGCCCAGGAGTGACAGCAGGCTGATGATGGTGATGGACACGAAGCCCCAGAGCCAAACCCACACTGAGAGAAGACAGATACGTTAGAGATTTAACAGCTTTATTCTTTCTATATTAACTGAAATAATCTCAAAATCAATCTGTCAAATTTAAGGAATCTCTAAAGATGTCCAAAATTCATCTAAAAGCAGAAAAAGTGCGATAACAGACACAGATTTAGCATCACTTTGCTGCCGGCTGAAGTGTTTTTTTTTCCTGTCCTCTACACATGCTAAGGAAACCATCCTCTCGAGGTTTTCCATCCGTGTGTCCTTGTGATGACACACAACGCCTAAAGCGAAAAATGTGAAGTGACATTTCAGCAGAATTTCACTCGCCTCCTTTTTCATTCAGACGTAAACACATGAGACAGAAGAGGAAAAGTCAGAAAGGTACACTATCACTCAAACTGTCAGTCCACCTGTCAGCCGGGGACGTGAATCAAAACAGAGCCAGACCGAGGAGGAAGAAAAACTCTGATTCTCGCTCTGCGGAGGACAAAATGTTTAATGTCGTGAGAAATTCAGTGTCAGAGCAAAGATGGAGGTGTTTACTAAACTGCTGGTGGGCGCTTCACTGTTGACATTCAGCTTTAATACATGTACTCACTCAAACAGTGTGTTTGTGATGCAAATCTAACAGATAACCGACTTCAGGTGAGGCGTTTCAGGAGGACGTCAAAGCAAAGAAAAGATTTAGTCAGGGATTTAAATTCAATACTTAAAATCACATTTATTTTAAGATATTTTTTAAACAAATGTTTATTTCATACTTCTGTTTCTATGAATGAAATTCTGGCAGTGCTCAGAAGATGCCACAAAGCCGGAGGGGAAAATCTGACTAATAACAGCAAAGTCACGCTGGCAGACACACACTTCCTCTTCACTTCTAATCGGCCCCAGGTGGTGTCGCTTGAGAAGAGATGATCTGAAACATGTCTTACGTCTGACGGACGGCCTTTAGAGAGACTGAATCAAGCTGTTACTGTCCCATTACCCAGCTGTAGGATTAAAAAAACATGACAAAAAAAGAGCCGCTCACCAGGAGGCTGGAGTTCCCCACGGAAGTAATATTTATACTGAAGAGGACGGCCCTGATGTGCGAGTCCTTATTACGCAGCCACTTGTCGTAAGCTTTATACCCAAACTTTAATTCCTGCGTATTCACCTGGGGTTTCTAAAAGGCGAATAGATGATGCACTTGGTGTTTCGATGACGGTGTTACTGGCTTAAAAGTCTGATGTCAGGGATAGCTGCCATGTCGCATACGTCTGTTTCACTGCTCAATTCAGTCACCTGTCTGTGATGTATTCACTGACGAGTACAGCGAGATTAGCAGCTCTCACAAGTTTTCATTAAAGGCTGAAGGAGACAGCTGGACTCTGCAGTGAAGTCTGAGAAAAGCATCAATTAAGGACTTCGCTCCCCAGGAGGCTCCGAACTACATAATTTAGGGACTGCACGGATGAGTCGGTTAAACATGTATTGGCTGATATTTTCCTGTCAGCAGACATTAGTTCATCACCGCTCACTGTGCCATTCAGCACTGTAAGTAGTAGAGGTGGGGAGTGCAACGTAAAATGGCATACCCTGAACAAACATAACAAGCTCCTCTTCGCAGGCTGTAGCTGCAGTATAATCTAAAGGAATCGCTAAAAACATTTAACTACTAGATGTCATAAACTGGAAGAGCTTCATCCTTCAGTCGGACACACTTCACATCTTCTCTTCATAAACGACTGTGTCCTTGAGAAGCCTCCCTGTCTTGTTTTATTGTTGCCACTATTTTGCGCCTCACAAAAGTGAAGGCGCTACAGTCCGCTGCTTTCTTATTTGTCACATCAGGCGTAACACGGCGTAACCCTGAGAGGTAACTGTGTATCCGCCTGCAGTACATCACTCCAGGTCCTTCACACTCACGAAGCTCATCTACTTCTCTATCTCATTACCCTTATACAGTTGTAGCAGTGCGTGTGCGTGTATGTGTGTGTGTTGTGTGATTATATTTGGAGGTGTGCTGAGGGGTGAGAGCAGCGAGGAATAAGGGAGCAGAAGAGAGGAGAAGGAGACCCACCGGTCTGTGTCTTCTCTCCAATTACGCGTCTCCTGTGAGCTATGGCTCAGAAAAAATGGCCCAGGGTGTCGCTTAGGCTCTCCTAATTGGCACACACAGAAAGAGAAGGGAGTGGGGACCAGGAGGAAGCGACTGCAAATTTTCCGAGCTCCCCCATGGATGCCAGCGGGAGGTAAATGAGAGGTAGCTTTCGCCGCGTGTGGCGATGCCTATGGTGGAGTCTTGGTGCACGGCTGCAGACGATATAGCGCTCCTAGTTTTGTGCTAATGAGGAGTCGGCCCTGCCCTTTTGACTTGTTCATGCTGTCTTCTTGGTTGTCATTATCATTTTTATGACTGTTTTCAGTGGTGGTCCGTTGAGGCATGTGCAATACGGGTCTCTCCAGAGGGGGAGAGAGTGTGTGTTTAATGATTAAAGGTTGAAGAGGGGATTCCTCCGGTCTCATGGTTGGGATAACCTCCCTGCTGCTTTGACAGCTGAAGTCTCTCTTTAAGTTCATGAAATTAACAATAAAATTTTTCAGATTTTACCCCTAATTAAAAATAAGTCTGAAGAACGTCTCGCAACCCCACGCTGGCCCTGTTATTTACGGTCGCAGCTGTGAAACTTCTACGTCTCACTTTGTGGAAACTAAAGACCAATTATTCTGCAGACATAACGCAGGACATGAGAACAAATACAGGACTGTCAAAACAAGTTTCATCATTAATTAAACATACATACAAGTCCTCAAAGGTTCACATGTTTGATCCAGTACCACAAACACACAGAGCAGAAGCGGTGGTTTCTGGTTCTGGTCTGAGTTGTAGCAAAGCTTTTTTTATGGCTTTATGAGCTTCAGATCACGACCTGTAACTCATTAACTTTAAACACTGTGATTTTACGATTTGCATTCTCATAAACTTTGAAGCGCTGTGATGTCCCACAGCAGGCCTCGACGCTGACCTTCATTCTTTATAGCTGATCTTTTAGTCTCTCCCCTACTTTTCTCTCTGTTTATAATTAACTTGGGAACTTGGAAGACAAACTAAAAGAAAAGGCATCACTAGAAGAAAAAAGCCATCTTCATCAAATGAACGTCTGCGCACAAAGTGCCCCCCAAAAAAAGTCTCTTTTTGCGATTCTTCAAAGGACATGAGTGGACCGCTCTTTAGCTGCCATGGCAACTAGAAGTTTTTGATAACAAGGGCATCCATTGTCACAGACACAAAGCATCTGACATGAATGGTGAAAGCTGTTTCAGGGTGTCAATCACACTTTGTCTTCTCCTCGACAAGAACCTGATGTGATCGATGACGAAACTTCAACTTTCTCTTCTCCTCACTAACCGCAGACACAAACCCCTCAAGTGACTGTCACACACTAGTTTTAATACACCCTGCTAATTCCTGTTGATGGCCGTGAATAAAATATGTGCTTACCGGGCCTTGAGTCTAACTCAGGGAGCCAATCAGCTTATTGCATCTGTAATAACACCTCAAAATCCGGCTAATCCCAAATGCTAACAAAAAAACATCCCAGAAGAAATTAAGAGACTGTTAAAGTTCAACAAGTTTGAGGATGTTCACTGTCCTGGAGACTCCTGCATCAGGTGTTTGACAAATAAAGCTGTAGTTGACTTGAATGAAAAGATAAAAGATACAGAAATGTGGGCAGAGAGAGAGATTAATAACATAACAATAGACGAGTTCCCAAAAGGTGTTAGAATATAATATCCTGAAAAATTTACCTAATCTGAATAGATTTGGACAAATGTCATCGAGATTACAGTGTGGCAGACTAGTTGCATACTAATGAAACCTGCGTAATTGTTACCGTGGATTTGGCACGAGGAACTTTTGTGTTTAATTTGGTGACCCTCTTTGACGAAGAAGGACCTCTTGTTTTAGTTAATTTTGTCCTGTACATGTTTCTCACAGAGTTACACGTGTCCATCGGTGAGATCTTGGCCATAAAAATACAAAAAATAGGCCGTTCTAGCATCTGATACCTACCCTTACCTGCAGTTTTACATAGTGGAAAAAAACTATCAAGACATGATCAGTCTTCATGCTGAAAGTGTTTAAGTTTTTCACAAATTGTCAGTAATATCAAGTAGATAGAAACAAAGTGTTTGCATTTCATTTGAGTTTTCATAAATAATGATCCCACATTTTCGCTCTATAATGTCACGGTCACTATATTTATTGTAGTTAACTGACTAATTTTTTCTTTAAATTGCATAATACTGATAAAAATGTTTTAAAACTACCTTTCACTTAAGCATATTGTATCAGGTATTAATGTGTCAGTTGCAGAAATCAGATATTTTAGTTTGTATTTAATACAATTAATGTTATTATTGGTCACACCACATGATATTTTGACACTTTGAAGTTAAGAAAAATTACAAATAAGACCTGATTTTTGAAAAGTTGAAGTGACTACATCTATGAGAGAGATACTACATATAGAAAGAATATTTTTGTGCATTTAAACCTTTTTTTACTTAAAAAAAATACAGCCGGACGGAATATTTAGGCGTCACATCATTGACCCAATCATGGACACAATCTCAATCCCAGCCAGAAACTCATCAGAGGAGCTGTAACAAAAACTTTCATTAAACATGGCCACCTTTCTTCCTCAGTAGCCCTACATCCTGATTACATCACATTATAAATACAGTGGTTTAAGAAACAGTCTGATAGCTGCTTCCTTCAGCAGATTGAAAAACACGAGTCAGTATTTCTTATCAGGAAACATGTCACTCTGCAACTGAGCTAAAAAAAATCTTTGTGGGGAGAAAATGTGATTCAGTGTTTCAATATTTTTCACTCAGTCGCAGTTTCTCTTATTTCTTTCACCTTCTGGGCCTTTTTTCTTTCAGATAAAATCACAAACTAAAACACACTTAGATTCATGACAATATCGCTGCACAGTTCGGATCAAACAACAAAACAACAATCTCTTGAAACAAAAAAACTAGCTGGATGAACTGGTGTGCAAATGTGATCAAGTACTAGAGTTTACATGCGTGAGACAGTCCGACTGGAAATTCAGTGAGTAGACTAGGCCTGAACTATATATCGTTTGACTATCGTCATCGCGATGTACGTGTGTGCGATAGTCACATCGCAGAGCCTGCGATGTTGGAGGTGAATGAACTCATTTAATTTCAAGGGTAGCTGACTGAGATACACTCCATGTGACTCTGCATGTGCTGTTCCAGCGATCCACCAATCACCTTCGTCCTTAACTCAGTTGCCAATCAGACTCACTTCTCAGTTGCCAATCAGACTACCCTACCAGCTGTCAATCAAAATCAGGGAGGAGAAAACCCACCCCTGCACATGTTCTGCACATGGAGGGAGACGTGTGTCCGCTGAGAATTACTTTCGGAACTTTGCTGACTATTAAGCCCAACAAATAAGAACTGTATGGGTTTTAAATTGTACATTTCCGTGGACCACTCTACTATAAGCGGTGCGCGTTTTGCGAGGTGCATGCAATTCTCGGAGGACATGCGTTTCTCGGCACAACACCGCTAACGACAACAACAACAACAACAACGATCGCAAAATGAACAACGAACAAGCGAAAACCACCGAAAATGAAGATTTGTTGCCAAAAAGAAAAGGAAAGTCAGTTATCTGGAATTATTTCGGTTAAAAGAAGGATGATGTCGACCAAAACACGTGTTCTGTGTTCATCTGTTGCCACAATAACGTCCCAGCACAATAAAAGCTAAAAATATCTCTGAGACAGACAGAAGCCATTCTACTAACATTCACAAAAAGAGGTAAGATCAGAGCAGATTAACTGTCCTCAAGATTTCAGCAGTGCAGCATAACATTAAGTGCTATTCAGGTCATCTGGTGAAAATACTGTATTTTTAATATCGCAATATATATCGCAGGGTTGAAAAAATCGCAATATTATTTTTTTCCAATATCGTGCAGCCTTAGAGTAGACAGAAGTTTACTGCCGATAAATCTGAATGAAAGTATAAAAAAACCCCACTTTTTTTCTTTGCTGTGAGAGCAGCCATCGATCACTGCTGCAGGAAGTTAAAGGAGCTTTCAGAGCAGAGCCATACCTCCAACTATTTATATAATAATAGATTTTCTTTGATGAAAGTGGTCCTGACTGAAATGTCTTTGCAGGAAAACAGATAAACTAGAATATACATAATGACAACCCAACTGACATGGAGACTTAAGTCATTTTAGTGAAAAAGAAAAGTCACTGAATCAGAAAAATATTTGGGTTCTTACCAGAACTTTTAGTCTCAAGAGCTTCCTGCTCCACATCCATCTGGTGGTAATGTCGTATGCAGACACGGCTGTCTATCTGGTAAAGCAGGGCTGGACACAGGTAGGTGAACTGGTGTGGTGAAATGAGCGAATCTGGACTCAGGCCGTAGTAGGTGAGGAGCTGCGTCAGGTTCAAACACTGGTGGGGAAGAGGATAATTCAGAATAAGAAACAGGAACCTCAGGCTATGATGCTACGTGAAATGACTAAATAAACAACATGATTTATACACCAAATGAATGTTTTTACTCTGAAAGTCAAATAGACGCCCCAGTCTATTAGAAAAAACCTGTTAAAGCGTCTGGTGAAGTCTGGTAAAGATACGTCAAGGATAAATGTATTGTTGTTTTTCACTTTTCTTCTATTAAGCAGCAGAGATTCACTCTTTAAAATCCTGAGTGCTCCTTAAACTATTTTTAGATGACAATGACAAATTAGTTTTATAGACAGAAAACATTTCTGTTGGATTCATACACCATTTCTTTAGAGTTGCTTTAGCACTTAGGTGGAGCTTCTTGCACATCAAGAAATCAACATCTGTCAGTTTCACTTTGTATGGGTTCATCATAAGTCCTACCTCCTCATGCTGATGAGACATCACATTGCCAGGCAAGGCAGGGCCAGGCAACGTTGGGTGTGCATGCCCTCCTGGTGCTTCTCTTTTGCCTTTATGAGAATGGCTGTGACCGTGGCCGTGGTCGTGGTCGTGGTCGTGGTCGTGATCATGGCCGTGATCATGGTCATGACTGTGTCCATGGCCATGGCCACCAGACGATGTAGTGTCTTTGTTCCCTCCTCTGGCTCTGATCGGCTTTCTTGTCCTCTTTGTCTGAGGTTCTGCAGTGGTGGTCGGTGTCTGTGGATCCTGAGGGGCCTTGGATGGCTGCTGCGGCTGGTTGCTTGGTGCAGTATCTAAGCCATGGTCGTGTTTATGATCGCCGTGGTCATGGTCATGGTCACTATGGTCATGACCACTGTGAGGTTGAGTAGACAGATCTTTGCCATCAGTCGGTACCTGTGTGTGCCCGTCTTTGTGTTCCTTGTCATGGTTGTGATTACTGTGGTCGTGATCATGATTACTGTGGTCGTGATCATGATTACTGTGGTCGTGATCATGATTACTGTGGTCGTGATCATGATTACTGTGGTTGTGACTGCTGTGACCATGGGTACTGTGGTCATGACTACTTTGTGGATAAGAGGACTTGTCTTTATGATTAGATTGTACAGGTATCTGCTCACGTTTGTGTTGCTTATCATGGCCCTGCTCTAACTGTGGTTTAGTGGGCAGGTCCTTACGGTTATCCTGTACTTGTTGTAGCTGCTCTTTCTCTTGTTCCTGATCAGCACGATCATGAGCACTGTGGTCAGGCTCACTGTGAGGTTGCAAAGGTGGGTCCTTTGTCTTAGAATGGTCCTGCTCATGTTTGTGCTCTTCTTTACCTGCATGGTCATGGTCATGGTCATGGTCATGGTCATGGTCGTGGACATGTGTGTCCTGCTTATGTCCATCAGTATGTTTATGGTCTCTTTCCCCTGCTTTGGTGTGATCATGACTATGTCCAGCATCATGGCTGTGATCATGATCATGATCCGCATGGTTGTGGCCGCTGTGATCATGATCATGTGAATCGCCAGGCCCCGTCGGTGCACCAGAAGCAGGGTTCATCGCAGTGGTGTGGTCACTGCACTCTGTGGGAACCTGATCAGTATGTGGGTGGTGGGAATAACCATGCTTATGTCCCCGTCCCTTGCCTGTTTTGGTTGATGAATGAGTGTGAAGCCCCTCCTTCACGTCTAGTAGGTCTAGGTGAGCTACATGGTCATGGCCGAGTTCATCATGATCCAGACCCACCACCTTCACCTCACCCAAACCTAAGCTGAACAGCAGACTCTGAAATCCCTGGAAATCTAGACGATCTTTGTTGCCGTAGCGCCTGAACAGCTGCTGGATGTAAAACTGTTGTTCCTCCTCTGGCGTGTGTCCTTCATGAGCGTCGGACTCGGGCGGGGGGGTGGCTCCTCTCACATATGGCGCATCAGAGATCTGCAGGTCGCTGTGTACGTGGTTGTGGTTGGCATGTTGATGCCCGCCGTGTTGATGGCTGTGCCCTTCTCCATGACAGCGGCTGGACGGATGGAAGAGGAAGGTGAGCACACACAGGAAACAGAACTTGGTGTGCACGTGGACTCGCATTGTCCCCTTACTTCTGGTCCCCTGTCAAAACAGAGAAGTCACATGATCAGAATTTGTAAAAACATTTTTAAAGCATATCTATCTATACATTTCAAATCATCCCCAGAGTAAGAGACTAGTCTGGCTTTTGCTGCTTATGGAGAACAGGAAAAAGGCAGGTGTAAAGGAAAGCTGGTGCATTTGTGAGTATCTGGGCTAATTGCTACTGGCATATAAGTGAAGAACAGGAGCTTAAAACAACAGTAAAGCTCAGTCAGTAGGAGGACTGACGTCCGACACACACAAGCTGTCAAGGGCAGACTGGAAGAGGATTACTGAGCTCTGCCTGACAGAAATGCTCAATGTTCAGGTGGACAATTTCACTAACATCTCAAACAATCACCAATTTCATGTCGAGATCAAGGAATTATAATATAAAGCTGCAAGTTATGCCAAGTTTTAAGGGCTCTGAGTGTGGGAAAAATACTTACTTAGTTCATTCTGAACAGCTGCTCCTTTAAATTTCTTTACCTAGATAAACTCAGAGTTATTTGTTTACTAAAAATATATTATTGGAGTTTAAAATTCATTCGGCTGCTTTATCTTAGAGGTTTAGCCATGACAGTTTTGATCTAGGGACAAAAATAGGACAACATGAGTGTTTGGAAAAATGTCTCAATATGAGCTTAACTTCTTTGTAATTTTATTTCCAAATAATCATGAATAATTTAAATATTCTTTACAGATTTTTGTGTGAAATCAGTGATAAAATCATGGATAGAATATGGTTGGAAGAATATTTTAAGATACTTTATTACACCGGTACAACAGAAATATCAAGACACACGATGTTGGAGACTTTGTGGGGAGAATAAGGCCAATCATTTTCATATTTTGGGGAATGCTCTGGTATTATACCCTATAATACAACTTCCACTTACATTTAAATTTTTATATTTGGGAAAAGAGAACCAGGAGATAACAACATCAGGAGAAAAATACATATTTCAAATAATGTTGGTGGCGGCTAAAAAGCCCATCACTAGAAATTGGCTTCAAACAGATGCACCAAAAATAGAGGATTGGGTAGAGGTAATGATTGATATATAGAGAATGGAGAAAGACTAAAAACAGATACTTTAAAAAAAATTACTGGAAAAACTGGGTTGATTTTGTATCTCAATTGAGAGCAGACTTTGTGCAGTAAAGACATTGAGTATTGTAGATTATTGATACCCTTGGTTCAGGCTACAAACTTTTTCATTGTTCGTATGTTTATTATGTTAAAATTTGTTCATATATGTAAAATATCGATGGAATATTGATATGTAAAATTAATAAAAAAGAAAATTAAAAAAAGAAATCAGTGATAAAAAGCTATTTTACTGTTACCAGATGAAACTATCCCAAACACACTTCTGTCTCTCAGTTTAAATAACAATGTCAGCAATGGCTCAGGCATGAGATCACACAAATTAGTATAACAGGCCTGCAGATCACATGTCAACAGAGCACTTTAACCACCTGAACTGCAACTTTTAGTGTAACACAACAGATCAGACTGAATCAGAGACTTTCTGGAGAACAATAAACACTCGACTGAAAATCAGCCAACAGATTGCCTGTTTTCCCCCCCTGCTCTGAAAACCCTGAAGCAGCAATATCATTTCAGTCAAATGATCCTCATAAGATCTCTTGTGGAGCCGGTGGGTGGTCGATGCGTAAAGGAAGGGGGCGGTTCTCGGGGTTGTGGAGGAGTAAAGAGAGGTCAGATGAGGAATGGATTGATAATGGTACAATGGCACACAGCAGAAACCAAACAAACAGAGAACACACACAGCCTTTTAGCAGCCGGCTTGTTAGCAAAGTTTGTATTTACAGCATGAACATCTTGAGGGAATAGATAAGTCTAGCTGAGGCAACACATACTGGGTTAAATGTTAAAAATAAAGCGGGTAATGGATCCTCTGCACAGTTGTCAGAATGGAAACAACAGATTGCACATTGCCGGGCTTGTAGGAACAACAACAACAACAACAACAACAAAAGATCACAGAATAACTACATTGATTTTTTTTTTTCTGGATACCCCCAAGAAGAAAAGAATTGCAAAACAAAAACTGAGAAGAAAAGATACACAAAATAAGTCAAAGATCACCGAGATAACATTACTCAAGAGTCCACTTTTAAAACTCTACATATTGATAATCGCACTAACAATGGACTGCAGTTACTTAGTCTGAAAAAGCAACCATCTACATCTAAAATAAACCATTTGAATGCAAAACTACGAAGTTAACCTTTCTCCAAGTTCTTAGATAATAACTTGACAAGAACAGAGCCATTGTCTATTCTTCAAAGCGTTAATCAACTCAAAGACAACATCAGCGGCTTATCAGCGAGATTCTATTGACGTCCTTTTCCCCATTTAACAAGATCAGTGACTTTTACAATGAAGCATCTACAACATGTTACTAATACTGCAATTAATGTAATGTAGTGAAAGATTTTAATTTTAATCAACCATTAGCGCACAAAAGAAGACAAGATCTGATTTCACAGTGACTCTTCCAGTTGATCTGATCTGATCAGCCACGTGGTGCAATTCAATCCTGTAAAAGTCAATGAAACCCTTGAAAGCAATGTCAAGTCAAGTCAATAACTACCCACTGGCTCCTCTCATAGCCATAACTACCTTAAGAAACTACACAGAAAACTACTTACCAACGTGAGCCCTCGATTTAATGGTGTGTGAAATGTAATTTGGCCGAGGAGACAAGGACAGGGCTCCGAATGAAGGCTGCAGCCGATAAGTGTGGTTACAAGCCTACTTCACGGCTGTCGACAAGACGCTGTTTATAAACATGAGACAGCAGTGACCTATGAACCTCACAGCAGATAGGTTGAGGCAAAACCAGGACCTACTTTTAAGAGCACACCCTCTGAGCAGTAACAGAGCCTGCTGTGTTTTCCTGATTACAGTCTTTGTTGTGCTTGGCCTTTGAGGGGAACAGGAACAAAGCAAACTTTATTTCATAAAGTTTGAATGTGGGTTATTAAAACTAAAAAAGGAAAGGATTCACAACAGATTCATTCATCAAATCCTATTTCATCCCATACTGATTTTATTTTATTTGGAGATTTCAACTTCCAAAAGTATCTGTGGGATACTTTCACTTTGTGGTGAGTTTTATGCTCTCTGTTAAAGCCTGTGTTGTAAAGATTGGTCCACAGCTGATCACAGGATTCAGTGATAGTTTTACAAGCAGATTCAGTGATAGTTTTACAAGCAGAGATGTCTGTGTGATTAAAAAACGTGATCGAACAAAGGTTAACTCTGAGAAATTTGACATCAACGCTGTTAATGTCAGTATAATGTTACTTTTCTGTTTATGCATGCCTTTCAACTGAGAACTTAAGCTAACTGATGACGCGTCTTCTTAATAGTAATTTTTATAAGAGAGCAGAGTTTGTTTTTTTCACCAAAGTGAGAGAGCAGCAAGACATGCCATTAAATCCACAAGTCTTTTTTTATATCCTATAGAAAAGTAACTGCGTTTCTGAGTAAATACTTACACTGCATTCAGCAATGTGCAGTTTCTATGCAGATGTGTAGCTCTTTCTAATATTTGTTTTTGCCAACCTCCCAGCGGCTTAAATGGCAGTTCAGCCAAGCCTACAGTATCGCTGATGGTTGTGAGGCACAGACAGACTCAATACTGATCTGTGGAGACCTGTGCTACCCATCTCAACAAGACACTTGTCTCAAATTTTTCCAAGATAAATTAACCCAATACCACCATTTACTTTAAATGCATGACTACACTATAATGAGCATTGCTATGCTGCTCTATCACCTTGTCACAAGGGTTATTTTCTCTTACTCCTACTTCAAGCATCAAAAGAGTAAAAATCAGGATCGGTCCAGGTGTCTTTGTAAAGCACTATTTTCTTGAACAGTCCATTGAACCAAGTGCGTTTTATTCATTCGTAAGTTCTCTTTTTTTTCTGTATAGATGCGTACAGTGTTTGCCCAATAAAAGCATCCTTAATTGGGAACCTTGCAGAGGAAATTGATCTGTCAGCGTTAAATTGCTGCATTCAGGCCTGACCAAAGAAATAACCAACCACTCATGATCTGTTTTATCTATATTGATGTAAAACGTTCAGTTCTCTTCTCAGTTGGTTTTCAGTACACCGATGAACATTCAAACGTTCCTCAAAACTGATGTTTACGCCAGAACAAAGAATCCCTTTGACTGTACCGGAGTTGACCACTCATAATTCTGTTATTGTCCAGCGAAAAAATGCTGCAGCTTGTGAACTCACCGCGATACTGTTTTGCCCCCAGTCCTGATGCTATGGTTTGAGGGGGGTTTCCAACTCTTCTGAAACAGGCACTCTGGAAAAATATCAAAGAAAACAGACGTGTTTAATTCAAAGTGATTTTGACTCTTTTTCACTCGAAGCTGGTAGAAAATTCCACTTTCATAACAAAAGGTTTTCTGAAGCTGTGCTTACGGGTAAGGGGTTTCAAAAAGCGGGCACTGTGACAACCATAGAAAATGTATAAAACATATCACCACAGAGGGCCACGGCTACTATAATACAGGGATTAGTGCAGTCTACAGTTACTCCTCGACCATTCATAACTGATTTGAACAGAATTGTTATTGGAAAGCAGCCTTCGAGTGCTCTGCTGAACGACCGTTTAATAATCCAACAAAGCCCCGAATGTGGTGAGATTGAGCTCACACTTTAACAAATGCAAAATCACAAGCTAGCCTTAATGAGAGTGACCCCCTACCCTCATTGATGAAAGACTGCGGGCTATTTTGAGAGGCCATATAAAGTCTGAGCATGAAAACTTTAGTTTATTAAAGCTATGAGTTATGCCAAATATTTTAAGAACAGGTTTTATATATTTTTTGTATTGTTCACTTTTCTAATAGCTGGTTTAAATTTTCTTTTTTTGCAACCAGTTTTGGGAACTGGATCAGTCCTGTTTGACTCATTTTTACCCTCGTCTGCAGGGTTGCTACAAGGTTTCTACGCCCAGACTTTTTGAGAAACCTCTTGCAGACACAGAAGTGGTAAAACAGGAACTGATCCAATCATCACAGATTCGCTGATAAAACAAATTTTTATTAAGTTTTTACAAAGCCTTAAAGGGACAGGACTCCATTTTGTTCTTTCAACTCGCTGTTTAGTAAAAAATGGTTTAAAAGATGTGAACTACCAGATTCAAGGTCCTTACACACCGGGGCCGACGTGAATATAGAACGCGAAATCACGAAATATCCGGAGGTGAATTTTGACGCGCCTGACTATACGCATCAAGCTCGATGCGATTTTGCAACTTTCTGGGGGGAAAAGACGCATCCCGGGGAAGACTTTTCCAGGGGAAAGTCCCACCTCCTTCGCCTCTGATTGGCTAGAAAAGCTGGAAACGTCATCACATGCTCAAGCAATCCGATGCTATGACTCTCCACAACTTGTCCTTCAGGTCGTTATCTTTGTAATATTTGTATCTTCTATCAAAACGTACTCTGTTTCCGACACGTAAATAATCAGCCGGTCTGATATGTTGGATATACCGGTGAATCAGACATCGAAACAACGCGCAATCTGATTGGTCAGAAGTGGACACACGGTATGCAAAACCTTAAAAAATTGACCGTGATCCGAAAAAATAAATGCCGCAATATCGCAGGATGGGAAAACTTCGCTGATGTGAACGCTTGTATTGACAGGATACGGGTTCGAAAAAAAATATTGATGTCCGAAATAATCGCACGACAAAAACAGTCCCTGGTGTGTAAGGACCTTTAAGCTTAAAAAGTTAATTATAGATGTTAATTACAGGTATCAAAACATAACTAAGGTGATGCACTAACTATGTTTATGAAGTGATGATTTGACATGCGGCCAAAACAAGCCTCAGTATGAAGTGTTGAAAGCAAACTATCTATTTACAAAGCTTTCAGGAGTAAACACAGTAAGCACTGGTGCCAGTAAAAATCCATCAGCAGCTTCTACTTCAGTTATTCAACACAGCGTAGAGATAAAGCAGCAGCCGCCCAAAGCTTAACAAATGAAAAATCACTGAATTCATCGCTTTAATTTAACAGCCTTTCTGCATGGCGGAAGATACAGACTTCTGTGGGCTAATGATATATTGGAGCGTCACTCTGCTATGCCTCACCCGTGCTGCTTTGCAACGTGAGCATACAGTATATGAGTAACAGCCAAAGTCTGCAAATACCGCTGTGTTGGATATCCGAAAATTCTCATATTGTTCATCCCTGTTTAATTAAGTGAGGACTTAAACTAAAACTGTGTATTGGCAGGACCTCCCTACAGTATTATTTAGCCTGCCCTGTTTGAAAGGGAGCTTTATACTGTATTCAATGCTTAGGGAGGTCAAAGGCAAATGTTGCTTGATAAATGAATGCACCAGAAGAAAAGGAAAAGATCTGAGATCAGTCTCCGCTCTGACAGGTCCTTCAGACAGTCATCTCTGTGGCACTGAGTATCAAAGCAGCAGACAGTCTGCTTCAACCTGCATCCTGCCGCCCTTTACTCTCTTTCACTCTTTTCAGATTCAGAGACATTGTGGTGACCTAAAGGGTGAAGTTAGAGTTTACAGTCTGACATGTTCTCGCTATGATACCGCTTTTTTCTTTGAAGCAGCTTTACAAAAAAATCACACTCGTACTGTAAATCCATAAGTTTCTAATTTAAAAAACCTTCACAGAGGATAAAATAAGTATACTTAAATCCAACACCTGTAAAAAATGACTTGAATTTGATATATTGTAAGTTAAAGGCGGAATATGAATATGTTTCTGTCATTTCTGACACCTTTCCTAACATTGCAGCATGTTTCCAAAATCTCATCCTGTCTTTTCTAGTCAATGAACAACAGGATCTCTTCAGTAGTAAGTTTTCTCTCAGGGGAAAGACTCACTATTGCCCTTAAGCCGCCTCATATGGTGCTCACACGCCCGAACACATCTCTGTCATGTCAGTATCAAGCAGCTGTCTGCAGGGGAAAAGGAAAAAAACAGCTAAGTCACTCAGTAAAACTATAAACCATTGTTTTGTCACTTATATGTAGGCCTGTCACGATAACAAATTTTGCTGGACGATAATTGTGCTACAAATTATCGCCGATAAACGATATTATTGACACCGTTTTTTAAATTATAGATAATGATATTAAATGGCATAATAATGCGAGTACACCGTGTCAAAAGTGATAAACTTTAATTTCACCCACGACGAAGACGTAACGTTGACGAGCTAAACATAAGTCGGAGATGACTAAAATGTGACGAGACGAAAGTGCGTTTACGTTGATGGGACGACACGAAAATGACGAACAGAGTTGCAAAACTCAGTCAGTTAAACGCTAAACTTATAGGAGCAGCTTAGGTCCGCTCTGACAGCTCTCATCAGCCTGCTGTGCTCCTCCAACACACAGACACACACGCGTGCGCGCAAACACGTGGAGTTTTGTGGTTGACGAAAACAAAACTGGTTTAAAGCCGAAATATTCCCACACTTGGGCTGTTGCGTTCGGTTTAGACACCAAAGCTGTCGTGTTCATTCTGTTTGCTTGCTTTTCACTCACAACGCTCACTTGCAGCACTGTATCCAAAAGTCTGTGTCTGTGTGCCTGTGCGCGCCTACGTGTACCTGTGCGCGCGCCCCCCCGTGACAAAGACACTGAATGACTGACAGGAGGGTTCACTAACTCCGTTCATTCCGCTATAGAGCCAACGCCCCCAGGTGCCGAGAAAAATGCGCAGAGTGAGACCTCTTCTCTCATCCAGCGTGTTTGGTAGCGAGAGAGGAGGAAAACAAACGCACGTTACTTATCGAGGCTGGCAAAATGACCGACCTCGTTTTTATTTACCGACCGATAAGGCGATTTATTGATTACCGCGACAGGCCTACTTATATGATATTTATGTTTTAATGTACAATAATTAAAAGATGATAAATGGCCCGAAACATCTGTCATATTTTTTTACATGATCTTAAAGAGTGTTATGTCCAACTGCGATCTAATTAAAACCTGATGAGAGAGGATTAAAGTGGGTCTGATTAATTAAGTTGGCAAATAAGATGCTCTTAAGCAGTAGATTTACAAGTTTTGTTATTCTTTCTAAAGTCCGATGTAAGCTTGCTCCTGTTAAGTCCATATTTGGCGTCTTGTGCAAATAGAAGCATTTCTGCTGAGACAGCTTTATGATAAGAAGTGAGAGTTCACACTTTGAGGACTTTACTTTTACAGATTTTACAGATCTTTTGTTTGAGGATCGAACAAATGCCGCTTAATAGGCAGTGTCACTCGCACAATGTGACTTAGCAGCTACTTTTGTTTCCACTTAAAAAGCTCAAAGGTTTGGTTCGGCAAATCACATTTAACTAAAGCCTTAAAAGCTTAAGCTGTTTTTTTCTTTTCTCCGTTTAGTTCGGTTTGATTCGAAGAGGAGATAATTCGGCTCTTTGTGATGATGCTGTTATTAATCCGTTGTTGAATAATGCAATTCAAAATATAAAAGCAGATTATCCCATGAACAAAATGTGAGTTGACTAAGTTTTCGCAACTTTGGAAGGGAAACTTACTTTTTAACTTCAGGTTTTATCACATTTAATAAAATCACAGCAAGTTTGAGTGCAGGGGGAACAAACTTCATGAAACAAAAAAACAAAACTTGCACATCAGGGGCTGTGTCAGAGGCTTGCAATTTCCTGCATTTGACTTGATGTAACTTTGTCTTGCGATATTTCTGTTAACACTTCCACCTTACCACACAGGAAAGGCGTGTTTTCACTGGGCCTGGGTGATGCTAGTAAAAGGTTACACCGTTGCCCACGTAGTTTAAGCCGACAGCAGATGGTCTGTGGGAATCTGACGGCAAAACAATCTGCCTTTTCATCTAGAAATCCAGAGAAGTATGAGACAAATAAAACAGTCGAGTTCAAGAGGTGCGTCTCTGCTGACACTCAGTGAAGACTGCTTCAGCAACAACAGATTGTCAGCTGTCTTCAGTGTTTCTTAAGCATCCATTCACTGCGAGGAGGTGATGCTGCTGCACTGTGAGGCATTACACACTCCTGCTGACAGAATGTAAAATCATTACAGCTTATCTTAACCACTGACAAGTAAACATTCACCTGCTCTTCATGGATGTAGCACTTTTTTCATTACATGGCCAACCACCTACCACTTCTAAAAAGCACTTAAAGAAAAGAATAACCCTCAAGGCGGTCGTTTTCGCGGCTCAAATGAGCACTCCTCTGATCAAAAGTAGCTATTCTGTGGAATCTGTCTGAAGCTGTGCGGTAGGTTTCCCTGCAAATCTCCTGACTCAAGTACCTGGCATACTCACGGTCGTGCAGAAAGCTTTAATCTTTTCCCAGCCGGAGTGATAACAGTAGTGGTTGTGAGCGGAGGAATAAGTTTTGGGTCTGAGTCGTTCCTGACAGCTCAGCATGAACTAAGATGACAAAGTAATGACCCTGAAAAAGGCGAACCTTTCTCAGCTTGTATAAACTGTGATCTGACTCTGATGCCCATGTGATATTCTTCAGCAGACTCTATTTCCAAAACAAGTCTATGAAGTAAACAGTACAGACAAGCTCTTCAGTGAATACACAGCCGACATGAGGACAGAAGCGAGCAGGCTGAGTTAACCCCGACTTTTTTCAACACTAAGTCCAAAAAACCAACACCGCATTCAGTTAAAGTTTTGTAAGTTGGGGGCACTGAGTCATTTAAAAAGCCAAATTTAGTCCTGAAACAAGGAGCTGCACTGCACTGCAGCCAGAGTGGTCAGACGCAGGTGTGTGACTGATGCTCTGTGGCCTGGAAACATGTTCATCAAAGTGTAAAAGAGCAAAAGACCGCGAGGCGAGACTCCACACACACACGACACGTAAACAGAACAATCATCCGAGGAGTACGGCGTGCACAAGTCATAGAAAAACACCTTGGCAAAACAGAGTGATGCTTACCTTTAGTGACAAATATCCCTGAACGGGCCGGACTTCAAACCATACTAACAGAAAATGTTCACGCCGTCACTAACAGCACTGACACATGGGTAACAGGTTGAATGTTTGGAGGCTAATGAGTCCACTGACTTAACTAATTTATACAGGAAGGAGGGGAGGCACGTGTGTGTCTGCATGTTTGAGCATTCAGGGAGCTGAGTACAGGACCTACCACCTGACCGTCGATTCATGTGAGTGTGTGAGGGAGTGTGTGCATGTGCATGTGTGTGTGTGAGTCAGGGATAGGAGGTGATATTTGTAAGAACAGCATAGCCTATGAAATGGTGGCCAAAGTGCAACTTGTTGGGTGAAGGTTTCAATAGACTTCATCCTGTTCAACTTGAAGGGAGACTGCGGTGCAATGCTGTGTTGGCATTTTGTGAATTAATCACCCATATTACGCTCCAGCTGATCGTTAGCCCCCCTGTTACCGCCGGTAGAGAGTCGCCTTTTGATCGTCTTTCCTAATCAGATCCTGATATTTTGTCTTTGGCATTATACTGATCACTTAATGTGGTCTGTGGTATTTCAATAGAAATTAGTCTTGTATTTGGACCAATATGGTTATCACATATTGGCAATTTTTCCCACACAGACATTTAGGCTAGGGCCCGACCAATATGGATTTTTGGGGGCAGATGCCGATTATTAGGGGGGAAAAAAACCTGATTACCAATTAATCGGCCAAACTTAAACATTTTTTATGAATTATAAAAAATATGTGTATACTGTAGATCTACTGTAGGCTACTGCTTTTCACGCCAACAGAAGGACCGACTGATCAAACTCGGACCAGAAAAGCGTGTTCGCCACTGATCGGTGCCTCCATGTCTTAACCCACGTTACTCATTTCCGGTCTCATCTGGAGACATGCAGCTGCATCATTAAGAGAAGTAGCTCGATCACGTAATGTGTACTGTTGTTTATTCTACCGTTACTGGCACTGCTTACAGTGTAGCAAGGCTAATAGCAGATGGCTAACTCTAACTTTAGCTTGCGTATTACATGGTGCTTCACCGGGAACATCATGAAGTGGGTTGAACTGAAACTTGTTGACTTATTGTGTATTTCACAAACTAGTTTATTTACCGTTGAGGCGGACCACTCTCCTCCGTGCGTCCCTTAGCTGCCTGCTTCAGATCCGTCACTCTTCTGTGCTGTGAGGTAGTTAGTGGATGAAGATTGTCATGAGATCACTGCGCCATCTATAAGATAAGTCGGGGAACTTTTCAAATGGCAGAACATTTTCGAAGTGAAACCGAATCTTAGTCTCTGAATTTTATTTCTGAAAATATCAACAAAAATCGTCGTTCTGGCTGATTACCGATTTGTCTCAACTCTCAAACAGGCTAAAACTGGCCGATTTAATCAACTCTTCAATAAATCGGTCGGGCCCTAATTTAGACCAAAGATTTCTTTAGCTGCATGATGTCTGCATGTAAATAAATCAAAAACAGGTAAACATAGGCGAACATGAACCCTGATGCACAATTTAGCTATGCAAGCGTAAAACGGTCGAGCATTTTGCCTTTTGAGTGAATGACAACTTGTTTGATGAGGGCCTTTAAAAAGTACTCCTGACAGATTAACAGACACCATAAAAGGATAAACTACCCGATGTTTGTGCTATACTGGACTGACTGCAACATCTTGTCCAGCTGGTTATCCTCACAGACAGTTAAGAGGTGTGTCTTCTGTTAAGGCTCAAACCATGACTAACCTCTAGTTTATACATTTTCCTAATTAAGACAGCTCTAGATTTTAATACTATCAGTCAAAAGGGAATTAAAGAGGTGCCTATTGAGTCCTACAATGATTAAAAAGCACGTTTCAGACTGCTCTGTGTGCATCAAAGACTGTATCATAAAAACAAGCAGCGTGGGAATAGTGTTACATGTGCACAAGATTGTGGACACTGTGAGCAGTTAAAGCAAACAGACCAGGTAGGCCCATGTTTACCAAATCCTTATTAGGAGCCTGCAGCTGGCAGCGACAGTAACCTTCACTTAGGTCGGATACTGTAAGTAATCAAGATGGCTAATAACATGTTTTCTTTACGAGCTTTTTAGCAAACTCCCATGCTGATAAATGCTTTGGCTTTTTCACAGAGAGGCGAAGGGACTCATTTCTTACAGTTGTACTACCTGTTGGCCCCCAAGGGCACTGGCAGGCAACCAAGAGACAAATGTATGCAAAGGCAGCGTTTAGCGCAGGAATAGATGTAGTTAATGAAATATTTAATGAGGTCTCAACACACTTGGGCTCACAGGTGCTTTCTACACACTTTCCATCACTTCGTTTTATTACATTTGACAAGAACTGCAGGCAGTTTTGAGACTTAGGGGGGTTCTAGTCCATGCTTTAAGTGCTTTATCCAAATAGTATGTCAAATATATTAAAAAAATCAGCTAATAAGGGGAGATTTGAATTAGGAGTGAGATGTGAAGAGCTGTTAGGCGTGCAAAATGTGAGAAAATAAGATTGTTTGTAATCTTTTAACTGTGGTGGACTGATTTAAAGGTTTTTCATGGCTGTTTTCAGAAGGCCGATATCAAAAATGCTAAAAAATCAGAAATAAGATTGCTTAATTTGAATGAGTGTTCAATTAACATGAAATGTAATCATGTTTCCTTTCACAACATCTTCATTATGCAATCATGTTAAAGTTGCATTGATTCACAGCCTTACGAGAAGTGGAGAAATACCACTGGACATTTTTTATCAGCTATGTAGCAGGACAGAAAATCTTGTGTAGTATTAAACAAGGGGCATGTTATCACGAAATCAAGACTTTGATCATCCGACACACGGTCAAACTAAATTAGCTGATGTTTTATCACAGAGGTGAGTAGGGAGGTTTTTTCTTTTGTTCTAGGATTAATTTCAGCGTTCATTTAAACGGTCAATCAAAGCTTTTTTGTTAACAAGCCCGAGAAAACAAAAAGCTCAAGGAAATTTAAACTGTATAATTTCCTTTAATCTCAAAGCTACCACATGACCACTTCTACCCTGTGTTTTTGTGTGTCTGCACTTTCTCAAAGTGCCGAACCAAAAACTAAGGAAGCAAACCTTTAAAAACTTTATCATTAACAAGCTCAGGTTACATATCTATATACAGTGAGCCTGCTTTGCCCAAACAGGAACAACAACATAATTATAACAACACTCCTCCACATATTTTGTGGATGTAAACTAAGTTCATAACAACACATATAACACATAAATATAAAGAGTCCCTGTCTGTAAGGGTTCGATAAGCACTGATTCTTCAACACTGGCCTGCAGCTCAATTCTACAACAGCACTTCTTGAGATATGAACCTTATGATCATCGGAGGCTGTTTTCATCAATACAAAAGACACATTTTCAGGGGCTCATGTTTACCGCATCACAAAGAAATGGTACCGACTCCTAAAGCACTGCAGGCAACTAAGCTCGCACAATGACACAATAGTCTCTGCAGATTCTCCCTAAGCTATAGGTCTCAGCTGTGTGTTGTAATCATAAAGCAGAAATGTAAATATGATCTAGTTTTGCAGCTTGACACCAAGAGACGGATTCCTCTCTATTATGACACATAAAGTCATTTTACCAGCTGTGCTTGTTACTTCTTAGGAAGTCATAACAACTGTGTTTTGGACTATTTAATATTTCCGAGCCAATTGGGTTGTATCATAGAGAGCTTATATTTCTTCCCTGCCCCCTTTAACCTCAGCAATTAATCTGAAAGCATGTGAGAGGAGAAATGATTGTAATACTAGGTCAGGTGGCTCGACATCACACTGCAAATGTCATTTCTGTAGCTTTATCACATGCCAACATTAAAAATGTAAAGCTCATCATGTGAAAAAGATTGTACATATGACAAGCTTGCGTGCAAATTTTCATGGGCGTTCAAAGATAAGGCTTTGTACCGAGAAAGCTTGCGATCCATAACCTTGCTTACCCCAGGGAAAATACAGCGGCCAAATTAATGTACACTTGGATCGACTTATTCATCCACAATTTTTATACCACTCGTGCAAATATAGGCCAGATGGAAAAATTAAAGAGCCATTCACACCTCAAAGTTCACGAAAGGTGACTTGTGAGTGATTTAATTCAATGACTCTCAACCTTTACAACTCCCTGGTTGCAACCCATAACATAATGGCTTAGATATTTGTGGCTCCACCCTCATGTTGCTGTATGTGAAAACAATGATGCAAGAAGACATTATCTTTCACATCCCTCATCGAGATCATGATCCCAAGGGTGAGAATCACTAATTTAGTGAGGTAAAGGCCCTTTTTTAGGTAAACTGTAATGCAGCAGAGTGCTACACTAAAGGCGAATTTCAATGAAGGTGAAACAGCACAAAAGGGGCATATATACAATAAAGAGTGTGTGTATGTATGTATGTATATATATACAGGGATCGACAGTGCGACTATTTCACCCGCATTTGCGACTAAAAATAGATGTGTGCAAATTGTAAAATGTTTTTAGGGGCACATGTGCTCATAAAAAAAAATTTTGTTGAGGCAAAAAATGACTTTCATGTCAATACTGCAGGGAAGTTTGTTTTAGGTTGGATATCCGATGAACATTCACTGCAGATCTACCGCTGTCTTCTCACTCTCCATAACCGCGAATAGCAACAACAGCGCGGTTAAATCTACTCGGCATCCTCGCTGTCAACGTTGGGTGTTGAATAAGGGACCATCAATAAATTACTGGTTGATATAACTTCCATGTCATGTGACCAACTGACCTAAAATTGATTTTAAATAATAATACTTATGATCAACCAATAGGACAAACATTATTTGATCAATTTTCATTGTGCCCCTTAAGTTCTTTGTGTGCTCCTTACCTTTTCAACTTAGGAGCACATGTGCCCCTTGTGAAAAAAGTTAGTGTCACACCTTGCTATCCATATACATATAGATAGATAGATAGGTAGATAGATAAATATATATTTATGTATATGATGCATTTGACTCCAGGAGCGACACTATTACATTTATGTTTGTTACATTCGCGCTTGTTGACGACTCAAAACAAGTCGTCAACGAACAAAAAAATCGTGTGTTGTTGTGCTCACACAGAGCGAGTAAAAATCATTAGTGCCGCATTGATAATAATGCTACTAATGCTACTCGCTATATAGACCGTGTATAAGCTTGAACATTACCTTTCACGTTGATATATATATTTATATTTACATATTTATATAGATAGATAGATCGCAACTATGCACTACATGATGGCCAGTTTATCTTCATATAGGAGTACTTAATGATTTGCATAGTTAGATATGCAATTCCTCCAATTTCTGATGAAACAAACTCGTGCAAAGCTGTAATATTCATGTTATGGTATCTTCAAAGATGGTATGTGTTAAATCAAGACTAAAATAACCCAGTTAAGACATTTTAATATTGCAATGCCAAAGTTAAAACCCAGATTCATGTGTTTTTATGCATGATATGTCAGTTTGAAATCAAATAAATGCAAGATTTCTTTTCCTACATTTGTGTTGATATGAACAGTGTTATGTAGTTATGGCAGCTGTGTTCATAGATGCGTGTAAATGCTATTAGATATGCTCAAAGCTCTCACATCAGCGGCTGGGACCAGCTTTTCATCGTGCTTTTTAACACTGAAATCACAAAAATACCGCAGTAGTGTGAATTCACTCTTAATTCGGGGACATGCAACCTTAATGTAAAATCCCTCACTCCGCAATATAAGATACCATTGGTGAAAAGTGCAATGTAATTTCAGATATCCACTCCAATTCTCCCCCTTTTCTTTAATACTAGTAAAGCCATGCTGTTACTGAGGCAGAGCACAGATACCGCCCATCAGTCTGATCAACCAAGAGAAGCTTAAAACCGCACGTGGTGTGCATAAAGCAGCCTCCGACACTATCCCCCGTCACTCAAACGTCTCTTCTAACCAGCAAACACATCAACCAACACCGTGTATTAAAAGCCACAATAACTCAGAAGCACCTAGAGATACATGCTCCTAACCAAACCAGCCTCGTTTTGTCCTTTAAGTCGCTCCTTCCACACGAAGCTAATGCTAACGCTAGCGCTGAAACGGAAGGTAACGCTTCAACCTGCTACCACGAGCTAGCAGACGATTCACAGGAAATTAGCTCACAGCCTATAAAGAGCAACGGCTGCGTACGCTGTCTAATATAACGCCACAAATGTCCACAGCCGTGGTATATAACATCTACACGACGTGGGGAAACACTGCCCGGGTCCATGTTGTGGGAGTGAATGATAACAAATGGGTTTTTTATATAGTTACCTCACTCGAGTGCCGTGTGCATCTCCTCTCCGCTCGGTACCAAAAATTGAAAAAAAGAAAAAAACGGCCGTCTGGTTTACGTCAGCGCACGAGACTAGATATTCACCAACGGCTCATGCGGATCTTACGCAGGATTCTGACATGCGCACACCGCCTGTCTGCGCCAACAGCGTAAAGTCCAGAAGACAGCACTGACGTTTCTTTCCGCCAGATAGTGTCTGAGATGTCATATGACTCACTCCCAGGAGAACAAAGAGGCGAGAGATTAACTCAGCAGCTCCTAATTTTGAACCAAACACCCTCTACAGATGAAGTCATACCCCTAAACTTTGTCTTTATTTGGTCATGTTGTAAAAAGAGCAAACTTTACCAGAAAAACATCATTCCGTAGAGTCTAGTTTATAGGGGAGAGTGGGGTAAGATGAGACATTTTTCATATTTCAGATCACTACATGAAGTTAATCATAGTTTTGTCTCTAACTAGTGTATCTACATATATTTCAAGATGTTGTGCATCCCTGCAAACCAACAGAATGAGTGTAAACATAACTGTCTTGATAATGTAGCATGCCAAAAAAAAGTGGTCTCCTATGGTCAACTCAACCTGTGTATGTATCACCACCCCAGCCCTCCCTCACCTTCTCTCTCCCTAAATAACACTCACTTCTTCACAGTCATGTGTGTTTTAATCTATTATACGCTATTCAACTGGTACAATAATTCTTTTTATTATTATTGCATAGAACTGTTAAAAAGCTGTTTTATAAAAAGTCATTTTAACATGAGAATGTCTAAGTGATTCAGAACATTCACAGCTGTATTTTTGAAAAGAAAAAGTAAAAACATTTCAACAATATGAACTGAAACTCTGATCCTCTCATCAGACTCCTTTACTTTCTCAGTTAAGCCACTGGCTCAACTACTACTATTATGACTTTATTAGTCCTCTAAGCTAAAACGGTGGACTTTTATACTAGGTATTTGACCTCATATTGTACTTCACAAGTGTCAAATCTGGCCTGTGGAACAATTATATCTGGCCCACAAGATCATATCATATTTGTATTATTATTGGCCCACCAGTATGAAGTCTGCAGATTTCCTCCACTATATTAATGTAAACTTTAGCACTACTATTTAAAATGTCCTTAATAAACCACGAAAATCTGGGAAATTAAAGAGTAAGGAAGATTTGATAAATAGTCAAGAATGTGGGGGAAAAATATTTGGTGTTATATTTCATGTTTTCAATTTTGTATTTCAAGATTACAAGTCAAATATGATTGGATTTTTTTTATTTCATGATTTGATTTTGTTCAACTCAGTATTTAGACTTTTTATAGTTTAGATTCCAATTTAAATTTTTAAGTCATATTTTGACCTTTTAAACCTGATGTCAACAGTCCCCTCATGTATTTGCTCTTTAAAAGCATTTGTTTTCTTTTTTCAATGTCAACTTACCCCACTCTCCCTATTTAGTTTTATTAAAATTTGACCTTTTTAACTCAGAGAGGTGCTACCTTAATATTTTCCAAACACACATATAATATCAAGAACGTATATATGACAAGGATGATTAAAAGTTTTTAAAAGTTAATTGAAACTAAACCAAAGGTACAGGAACTACATACAAGAGGAAACAGGAGGAAATGAGGAAATAAACTCTGCAGTGAACTGAGTAAGAAAAATATGGAAGAGTTCAAAGCCAAGTGCAACCGGCTAATTCATGCTTTCCAGTGTGCATATTCCTCATTAACTTACACCTACCTAAGGTTAAACTGAAAACACTTAAAAGCCGCCTGTTATGAGCCGGAGCTTTCACAAGTGCGCCCACTATCCAGACAAGAAAATAATTAAGATGTGACTGAATGGCTCTATTTATGCTAGAATAATGTTATCCTGAAAGAAAGAAAGGAGAAACATTAATAAATGGTTCGACCTTTCCCACAATGAAAACAAGTTTTAATGATTAAATCACTCACCCAACTTATTCTGTTGTGAAAGCCAGAAGATAATGTTAGGGTCAGGTGCAGTTTGATCATACCTCAAAATATGACTACAGAGGAAACTGGAGTACTATTACAGCGTGTAGAGCAGGGGATCTGCAGAGTCTATAATGCAACCAGGGACACTTCAGTTATGTCTAACCTTTACTAAATACCTTTGAGAGGTGTTAGTCTATATTTACACACAAACCTGTATGATACACAGTGTTATTGTACAGCTGTTTCTGGAGTAAACTTAGAGCTAAGGCTATGTTCACTTGCTGATGTTTTTTTAAAATGATTATTTCCCTTTGCGTGGTCAAAAAAATCCTGTCCAGACCAGCAGTGTTTTTGAGTACTTCTCTATCCAAACAATGACCCCAGTCAGTGGCCAATAATACATAATCAGTCTGTAATGTTGAAACACCACAGAAGAACATTGCATGCATAGAGCATCTTCATGAGCAAATAGTAAACATTTAGCACTCCTGATACTATTGATGGAGAAAAAAAACAGCACAAAGAACAAGTCTCAAGCTAGCAAAATCATAGACATAATATTTGAGAGTGTAGGATAACATCTGAGATCAAAGAGGTGACCTTTTGACTGAGCAGGTGCCCAACTGAGGCTTAACTGTGCACATGCAGAGCTGCTTTGCAAGCTACCTAGCAGCAGACAAGCGTGTCTGCAGCTAGGTCGTGTCCTGTTTATGGCTAAAAACATTGACAGTGTTTCAGGTGCAACAAGTGATGTATTTATGTGAGAGGTAAACCAGTCTTTGTGGTTTTCTGATAGGAGAGTAGAAGTGGAAAAGAACAGATAAGAATTAGAAACAAGCTTGACCAAAGCAAATCTGGGCTTAAGTGAAGAAGAGCAGTGGCCACAATGGCAACAACTTACAGAGCAGTTGAGTGATTCTTCTCTGTCACTGCAGACCCAGACTGATGACCGAAGTTTTAAGAGTACATTCTTAGCTTTTACTCACATCTCTGTTTAAAGAGGTAATATTCAAATTTAGCCAAAATATAGTCTAACCTGTATCCTTTGTTCCCATGTGTCCTCTTTTAGCTGCTTCCAGAGCTTCTGACTACAACAGAAAGATTCGGTGAAGCAAATCCCTTATACAGTGGTTTCAATACCTGTTTTTTTGTGTGTGGTTTCACGAGTACTCTGTTTGTCAAATGGACACAAACATGTGATTTAATGGTTCGGGTTTTATGTAGAACAAGTACAAAAAGACAAAGCAAAAATGACTCAGCAGTTGTTGTAGTACTTCATAGTTTGAAGGACTAACCGCTCAACTTGAACTCCACCACTGATGACTTCAACTTGGACTGTCTCACATAATAGAGCCTTGACTCAGGTTCAAGTAAAGAGTGCTTAACTCAGATTTTTCTCTGGGGACTCAGTCTGAACTTGGACTTGAACACCAGGGACTCCAGACTCGTACTGAACTCGAGGTTAAGAGATCACAGTAGTGATCAGCACTTGGCTTTACTGCAGTATTTTGGTTTGCTGACTTCGCCAGAGATCATACCAAACAGTGTAGCTCATAGCAACCAAGCAGCAACCTCGGGTGATGAAAAATGAAGCTAATGTAGAAGTGTATCCTGAGTGTCCACTACAGGCTGGCCCCAAAAGACCCCCCTTAAAGCCCATAATGAAATGTCTATTTCATGTTGCCAAGAACTCTCATGGTTTCTTTATTTGTAAAAGCTGCACAGGGGGTGAATCTTCTACTAACTCATCTTTTTTTAATTGTACCAAGGCTAAAAGTCATATATACTGTTTATACATAGAATTAAGAAAGGCTGCATTTTTGTATCTCATAAATTAAACCTTTTACTTGTCTCTTTCTCTCAGATTTAAGACAGTAATATTTTTGCAAGAAACTGAGATCTCAAGACAAGTTTCTTCTTGCTGCCGTTTCAGAGTAATTTTATGTAGCATGCATGTAGAAGGTCAGAAGGTAAATATAGTGTCCTGAACTGCAGGGTGAGTTCAAAGTGAATGAGGACACTATGCGGTAAAGTGAAGCAGTGCTTGGTTGAGTCATTAACATAACTGTATAAGAACATCACATTATTCCAGCGCAGCGGTGTAAACACTAAGAGCCCGAAGGGTTCACCATCTCTTCGCAGACTTCACCTTTGATCTCCCTACTTGGCCCCATATTTATTTACTCTGAACTTCTTACAGAATTTTCAAGCAAATCATAATTTCATATGCAGCGCTCCGAGCAATCTACCATGATCTGCTGAAAAATGGTCTTGCCGTATCAAGAGGTGGGTTAGAGAAATGGCTATCGACCGTTGACCTTCACTGTCTCTGCGTAGGTGGCTCTGTGTGTGTTTGTGTGCGCAGGTGAGTGTGTAGCATCTCAGCGGACACGCAGCTAATTTCTGTCAGCCATGCACCAGCTGGGTCCACTTCCCTGCTCCTCCCCTCCGCAGGTTCCCCTTCTCTTGTCGGCTGTCTCTCCTGATCATAGAGAGATTAATATCAAGTGATTGGCAGCCGTGTTCGCACTTAGCGCTCTGGTCATGGTGCCTCAGGGTCTCTGCCAGTCGTAAAGCAATGGTGGAAGCACCACTGTGGCTTCCACTGTCATTTAGCCAGAACCCAGAGCCAGCATACGGAGGATGAAAAGTGCCAAACGGCAGCGTTGAATTATGAGCCGCACTCAGCCCAGGCCATATATACAACCCAGCGTGGGGAGCCATTTCCTGCTGAAATGCCTCTTGCTGCAGATTACTGAGGTAATATTTCCTGCACTGCAACTAGAGTGGTTATGGTTTGCAGGCAATCACACCTGATGCAGCTTTTGCCTACGGACGACCGGCATGAAAGACGAGGCATCGGCTCACAGTGAAATTACCCTTTTTATCACGCAGTGGTTAAAAAGGTGAGGTGATTTTTAATGAGGACAACAAGTATAACTTTTCACTGCAGCCTGAACAGCTATCATGTGCATAATTACAGACCCGGGTGAAATAGTTCATTCGAGTCATATAACCTATTATAAACTTATATTACTGCAGTCAAATTAAGGTCGTCCATCTTGAATGCGTCCTTCTACTCTGTGGAAATAGGCATCGGGGATATGCAGTCTGGATCCTTTGTGTGTGTGTGTGTGTGTGTGTGTGTGTGTGTGTGTGTGTGTGTGTGTGTGTGTGTGTGTGTGTGTGTGTGTGTGTGTGTGTGTGTTCCTGGCTGACATTTTGCTGATACAGAGCAATATTGGCACCCCTGTAGACCCGCTGGTGCTCTGTCCTGGAGGGCAGCCAAAGACTGAAAGAAAAGGAGAGAAAGAGAGAAAGAGAGAGAGAGAGAGAGAGAGAGAAAGAGGGAGGACATGGTAACTGACAAGTTTTAAATATCAGCTCATTAGCCACCTGTAAACCCATCTAATGAGCGCTCATGGATTTTTCATTCCCTTTAATTGGGTGGAGGTATAGGAGAAAGGCAAATGCACTTGCTTGTTTCCCCTCAGGTTTGTTGTACTTGCCAGAGCTATAATGCACGCACACATACCTCCCCAGACGGCCAGCCAACACCCACTGCTTCCAACCTACAGGTCCTGGATCAATTTAAGCAAAAGGAGAGCAGCCAAACAGCTCCATTAGGCCTGCAATTAGCTTTTGAACGTATAATACACTTATATAATCGTTACTGGATTCAAAACAGGAAAAAAGATGTGTCAGAAATGTTCACCAACGTAAAGATATGACCTCAAGAAGTGTGAATAAGACAGATTTACGGCTGTCTATTGATTAGATTAAGATGATACATAATCTGATATTGTAATCTTATCAGCTAGTGATGTATTGCAAGAGACTATTTTCAGAAAAACATGATTCTCTCGCCGTATGAATAACACACATGTTTTTGTCATGTTGTGGGAGCTGTCTCTACATGACAATAGGGCGCAGATATTTATAAATAAAGTTAAGTATTGACCTCATTACATTATAAATATACACTGACAAGCACCAAATACTGTTAGGTTTTTCCATTTAGTGACTAATGAGGACATTTGAGAAGTTTATCCACCACATAACTGCTTATTTCACCCTTTAATGGTGGTACATGCATCAAACCTTCCTCTAATGTGAACGCTGATATATCTACTGTATATTCAGACTTAATTTCTTCATCATGCTGTGCTAGTGCATCTAATTCTCGGAGCGAAAAACTGACAGTTATATTTATTCATCAGCACAGGTATGAGGATGTGGAAGTTGATACTTTGGTAATGCAATATTCCAATGTGTTTGCACTGTCCTGAACTAACCCTGTCGGCTTCATAGGAGCTCAATCAAGCCCTTAATCAGTGATTAGGTGAACCTGTGGAGTAGAGACTCACTATGCATGCCTCATTTTGCACCGAAGAAAGTTTGAGACGGGCTGAAAAGTTGGAATAATTCTCCTGTCTGATCCGCCCGACTATGATACAGAGAGAATTTTTCAATCAAGACTTTCATCTGTACTCCGTTTGTTCTAGTTTGCAATATCGAACAGGTTTATTACTCATTATTATGATTTTCCCACAGGCCTGATCTATTCTCTCCACCCATTAAGTGTTAAATGAAATATCAATTTTCATAAAGATATCTTATTTCAGATGTAATAGTGTGGTTGATTCAGAAACGGTGAAAGGGAGAATGTCCACTGAGTGAATGGGTGGTTGTGCAAATAACGATCCCGATGAGATATTCAGGACATAACCAACTAAAGACAAGAAAAAGATGAAACAAGATACTGATGTAAAGATGCTCTATTGACTTAGCTTGTCTGATTCCTCAGATAGTCATGTTTCCATGGCAACAAGCTCTGCTGCTGTTGCCTGGAATGCTGGACCAGGATCATGCCATAGACTGTATATAGAATCAATGCTGTCTGCCTCCTCGCTGGATGAAGCCACTCCAAGAACAGCACCCTCTGGTGACAAGCTGCAGTATAGGTCATAAATCCCGCCTCCTCCAGCAATCCCTATGAAGCTGTGGACAAACTTTAGAAATTCACTACACAGAATATACATTTTTCTCCCTCCTGGTTGTGATGTTGACATGCAGTTACTGTCAGACTGGTTTGTGCTCAAATCCTCTTTTTTCTGTGCAGCTCTGTTTTTAAAAGTTATTAAGGGGTTCATATTTTCTTTAATTGACACTTGATACAGCCTATGGGCGTACGAAGATTGCGTAGCTCACCCGGGGGGATACACTGTTTGAGCTGAGCATCATCACAGCGACTAGCAGCGACTCTCCCACCGAATGTGTACAACGCTACTGCACAAGTGGTGAAGTGCAATAAAGTGCGTACAGGAAAAGAAGAAAATTTGCGGAAACACTGAGAGCTGGTCTACAGACGTACTGTATGGGGACTTTTCTATCCCACAAAGAAGATTCATAGACTGCCCACATACAGTTCCTCAAAAATGAAGGTAATCGAAGATGATAGGATTCTACATTTGTTATGGTCTGATGGCCAATCAGAGGCTGTATCTTCTATCAGCTGACTGGTAGCAGCTCAATCAGAAGTCAGGCTTCCCCGCCTCAGCAGAAAAGTGAAGGTCATAAAGTTTGTTACAAAGTTTGTCCTGTTGACACAAAGAAATTCACACTAATTGATAAAGATTTGGATTCTGTAGAATCAATTATGTCGTCAGGGTTGAAAAATTTTCTATCACCTCTTTTCCTTTGTGCTGGGATTTGTCATTTGTTCCTCCCTGCAAAGACAAGTTTAAGATGGAAAATGAGATTTTAGCCTCAGCGTTAGAGATGATATAGGCTGGATTCCTTTCAGTGGACTGACACTTAAACCAGGATGTCCTACAAGCTGCTTTTGTTTACAGAAAATTAATCATTCTTGTGCTTTAAAAAACTCCAAAATGACATTTTTAGCCACGCGTATAAAAACCTGTGATGTTGAGTCCCTTTTTTCTTTCATCAGACACAAGTATGGAAGTTTAATCAGCATTACTGTAACTCCATCTTTGGAGTAAGATAAGAGAGACTCTTTCATGCCATCTCTTTTGATAAACTTGATGTAAAGATACTGAAGGCATAGTGTCTGAACTGTTATTCACTGCTCCGTCACATGGAATAGGCTCTGATTTCTGTACAAGATCAATTGTTCTGGATAAGAGAGCATTATTCTTTCAAGCCAAGTCCCATCCTTTCCATGCACAGAGGAGTGTCTTTGATTCCTGACAGCCCTGACATTTCCCTAAATTCTGCCACAGCTCCTCCTGTCAATAGCAGCTGCGTTACTATTTTTCTCTCTCTGAGATCTAACAGAGGAGGAATCAGGCATGTTCAAAGGCTCCCTGCAGAGAAACATGATTTTAAAGGTGCTCAAAATCTCATGTCTGCATACCAGGGCCAATCAAAGAGAAAGGAGTCATTTTCTTTATATGATGTGACGGAGAAGAAGGAAGGAAAGCGACATTTTACTCTCTATTGTGTTTTGTAAAAAGTGGAATGAGCTCGGTTTCTGACATTTCTTCTTGTTGTGGAGTATGACTTTTTAGTCGCACTAATATTTAAAGTCAAGGGAACATTTGGAGGAATGTTAATATTTGCAGGATTTTAAATTCCTTTTGCAGCAAAGCTCTTACTCCCATGCCAAGTGTTGCTTTAGCTTATTGTGTGAATAAACCCTTGACCCTACTCTGATTTCTGGGACTAAGTTCCTGATACCAAGTCCTTATCCTTTACACATATATTTGCCCTGATAGCAGAGCTTATTCCATTTAACTTTGCATTGTTGCCAAAGTTATTCAAACCTTGTTTTACATGCCCTGCTGTGCGAGGCCAACGGACCTGGTGTGCACGAGTTACCACATGCTTCCACTCCAAAGAAGAGGAATCAATCCAGCGTGCGGTGAGCCTCAGCGATGACACGAGACAGACGTCAGAGCCCCGAATGCCTGTTGTGAAACAAACAGCTGTCACATCATGTTTTAAATCCCTTCCAAGGAACTTCTCTGCACAGCTCCGATAAGGCAATGTCTTTAACATACGACTTAAGTCTTAAACCAAGATCTGAATCGGTGTGAAGTCCTCCTCGAATACCGGCTATCATAGTGCCTCATTATTAAAGATGGAGTTTCTGTTTTTGTCTTTTGAGTTATTTGTTCTTGGAGAGTTGCTCTAGGCTACCATGTACCAGAGACTGCCTGTACACGCGTGTTTGTGTGAGTTTAAGTAGTCGCTGAAGTTCCACGTTGATGTCCCGATTATTCATTTTCTGACTGAATACAAACAGTTTGGTAAACCCAGAGCACTCAATGTCACTTTGGACTTTAAGTTCTGCTGCAAACTGTGGATCGGGTCTTCCTTATCAAGTATGGTGAGATGATGGTGCACTAATGCTTTGAGTTCCCACGGAAGTCAGAAATCCGAGCTGAAAATGACGTCACACCCAAGTTCCCAGCGTTTCAGTTACCAAGTCGGAAATAAACAAAATCGGAGGCGGAAACAAGATGGCTACATCTACGAAAGTTATTTTAGCGCTTGCCTTGTCCGAATATAAGGTAAGCGCTGAAATAACTTTCGTAGATGTAGCCGTCTTGTTTCAGGCCTCTGATTTTGCTTCTGATTTGCGTGGTAACTCGAATGCAGCATAAAAACTACATAATCTGAGGTGCTGCTGGCTTATGTGAAGAGGCTTTGCCACAGGCAGGCCTTGGGTTTGGTCTCACTTCCCCCCTCTCTCTCTC